TTTTGCGCCAATATAATTTGGATAGGATAGAAGTTCAAATACGAAAATTTTCCGCGCCAATAAACCAATAATTTTACGATATCTCTACGGATGGTGGACGGACGTCGAAACCTTGACTCGAATGCGGAATTCTTCGCGTGACTGAATTTATTATACGCTCGTCTACAATTATATAGGCGTTCGTTCGTCCCGAAAGAGGAGAAAACTAAGATCCCCTTTTCGTAGGAGGATTGATAAATAGAAAAAAAAAGAAAAAGAAGAAAAAATCGAAACGCGAAATCGATACTTGCGCCCCGTTCGAAGTTCGTATCCGGCAAATATATATTGCACGATTGGAAATTCTCACGTATACAACGTGTATGGTAATTTAAAGGATGGTCGGATCGTTGCATGACCGTCTCATCCTGAATAAATAATGCTCTACCGATAGTTTCGACACTCTATTGGCTCTCCATCGAAGGGGATTAACGTTAAACGGATAGGCGGTTTCTAAACTGCGATATCTTTTCCGGACGATCGATTTTCGATCTTTCGAAAATTTTCCTTCCACAATTTCTTTTTTTTTTTTTTCCATCCCTTTAAAACGCGAAAACGCGTAAATCCAAGATGGAGAAGAAGATCGGCTATCTTTTAACTCAAAGCTTTTTCGAGGTTTTCAAGGAGAAGGGGAGCTTACAGCGAGGGAGAGAAGAAACAAGGGGACGTTTGAAAAAAAGTTCAAGCCGCACAAAGAAAGAATATATCCTTTGGAGGAAACGTTTTCGTTTGCTTTATTTCCAATCTTCTTTGTCGACGAAAGCGAAAAACCTGTTATTTCTCCGACTGTTCCCCCGCTTCATTGTCGTTTATTCGATTAAGTAATTTTGGGAACGAGTCCCCGTCGCGCGGAGCGAGAAACCAACGAGGTTGACCCTAAAATTTTCTCGGGAAATTGCATTAATGCCGTGGCGACCTTTGAAATTTCATTGGAAATGCGGAATATCTTTTCTCAGAGGTCTGAGAAACGGTGTCATACCAGAGCTCTACGTACCGCTACGTACGTTTTTCCCGACAAAGAAACATTTCTTTTGTCTTTTTGCGAAACGTAATAATTTTCGAACGAATTAATATCCAAGAAATCGTTTTACCATTCTTTTCCCCTCTTCTCGAAGGATATTAATTCTTAAGTCGATCGAAATATTTCGTTTCGATTGTCGTTCGATTCAGATCGATTGTCAATACGTTAATTTCGTTTTCAACAAATATGAATTACATGTTTTCGATTCTCTTTTTTTTTTGTTCGTACAAAAAAGAAAGGAACGAAACGAGATATATTCAGAGGTTTTTCAAACTAGGCGTCGAGTTAATTTGCGCGGCAGTGAATATTTGCATAGTACTTCTCATCCATTTTGCTCTCGTTTATCTTCGCCTTCGAGAATAATTTCTCGAGTTGGGCGTCATCGACTTTTTCCTCCTCCTCCTCCTCCTCCTCCTCCCGAAGAAGTGGAGTATTTGCACCGATTACCGTGCCCCTCGTTTACATAACAAATCTAGTCCCCTAATCAATTTTTTCAATATAAATTTTAATTTAATCTCCATCCCTCTCGGATACATATAAAAATCTTAGAGATATTTATTATTTTCAAAAACTTTGCAGGAAAACAAATTAAACAAACATTTTCCACTTCGCGTAAATCATCCCTATGATTTTATTCCTTTTTGGCAACCATAACGCGTCTCGGGACACGTATTCGTTCCACCAGAATTTTATCGACGCTCTTCGTTTTCCATCCTACGCGATTTCTTTCGACCTTGCCTCCCACTTTCCATCCCCCTCTATTCTCTCTCTCTATTATTCACCTTCCTTCCAAAGGAGATAAATTCCAGTTGTCGCCCATTCTTTCGAATTCGTGAATTCGTTTTATACTGGATAGGATTGTCGAGCGGGGAGAGAGGGAGGGAGGGAGAAAGACGGTTCGGTGACACGACAATTATATTTGCCGTAAGCGAAACGACCGATCGTTGGAATATCGATGAGCGTACAGGCGGACGGTGGTGAATACGCATTATGCATGGGGTGCACACTCGAAAGAACACGTACACAAAGAGAGAGAGAGAGACACGCGCGATAACAATTTGACCCCGTTCAGATAATAATGGCGCGTACCTCGTAACTTAACCGTAGGTAGACACAGCGGTCTAATATTTTCTTTATTAAGCGCCAACTGGCTCACGAACCGCTATAAATCCTCGCTGATTTGTCAGTGAATATAACCGGCCAGTTCCCCCCCGTTTCTAAATCGCTCTCGTGGCGCGTTATAATTTGTTATAAACGTAACGAAGTGTAACGTCGTGGGATTTGAACGATTTATCGGGGGGGGGAAAAAAAAAATGCGTGGATCGAAACGATAAAAATTTATCGTTGAAAAATTTAGAATGAACAACTTACTACATACGATCGATTCAAGAATCTCTTCTTCTTCCTCGATTCTCTTGCGAACGAAGGATTATTATTATCATCCGACCGAGTCGAACGGTAGAAAATAGCGTAATGTTCTCGAGTCTTGGTTTTTCGCGGGAAGAAGCGAGTCTGGATTGAGATAAATACGCCGCCCCCCCCCTTCCACGATCCATCGAGTTAATGCTCTTCTCGCGCCATGCTCTTTGCTACCGGTCACCTCTTTCCGGCAAATATCTTTTCCTCGTTCGCTCGCCTTCCTGTTTCACTTACGTTCTCTCCGTTATTTCCCGTTTCGCAACAGATATCACGGTTATTTATCGTTGAACGGTGTCGTCATTTTTCACGGACCGTATTACGTACGTATACGAGCGTGTGGCGGGACCCACCCGCGGGATACCTGGTCGAAACGACTTTTTGAAAAATCAGCCTCGAGGGTGTCTCGTTTCCACGCTCGGATACTACGAAGAGAAAAGATTGATGGAGAAGCATTGCCCGATGGATCGATTTCACGTTTACCAGGAATTCCGCGTATTTTTCCTTCACTTTCGATGGCTTTGATTCGTAACCAAATATCGTTATCGATAATATTAATAAAAGTAAGTAGAGCGATATTCCTATCACTTGTTCGTTCCGAGTTATTTGGATATACTTTTTTATTTATTTTTTTCATACGTTCGTAATATCGTTAAGAGTATCGTTAATATATATATATATATAGAGAGAGATGATCGAAGAGTAAGACGTAATTTTTCAACGAAGCTTGTTCGTTCGTATATTTTTACGTGTCGTAATGATAATTTTGAAAGAAGATGGAGGATCGATACCAGTCATTTCTGTTCCATTAACGATATTTTAACGTTATAGATATATCAAAAGTTATCGATAGATGTCGTTATCGATAATATTAATAATAGTAATTTTCGAATTATTCTATTTCTCCTTCGTTCCGAGTTATTTGGATATACTTTTTGATACGTTCGTAAATGAGGACGTAATTTCTCAACGAAGTTTGTTCGTTTGTATAATGTTTTTACATGTTAATGATAATTTTGAATAGAAAAAAAAGAACAGAGGATTGATACCAGTCTATCATTTCTCTCTTCCATTAACGATATTTTAACGTCATCGATATATCAAAAGCTATCGACAAGATATCGATAATCGATAGTCCAGACCAAAGGCTCATCCCTTTTGTTCAGTGGAGTTCGAAGGGCGAGCTGCGACGGCGGACGTTCAGCTTTAAAGTTTAACGGGCGATAGTAAGTAGGATTTAATTAAAGGTAGACAACGGTAGACGCGAATTCTTTCGCGTTGAACCGATCCATTCCATTCACCTGTCCGTGAAGTTTTCATTTTACCATTTGCCCGAATCGTTTTCGCGAACGTGTGCGCGCGCCAACGCGTAATTAAATCGCGTTGTTTGCATACCTTCCGCTTTCTCCTGAAACTTTGTCGCCAAACATTATCCATTCGCGATGCAGGAACGAACGGCACGCCGGAAGTTACGCCGGTGATTTGTCATCGTGGCTTTAAAAGCGTACGAATGAAACGCCGCGGCCTTTGCCGATTCCCCGCTTTCCATTAAATGGGTCCGTTTAGAAAAAAATAGGTCGAAACGGAAGTTTTTATCATTTCGTTTGTTTGTTGTCATTGATAGATTCGATTTCTGATTCTATTATAGAAAACCGTACAATATTCCAAATTTTCCATCGTTCGTGCGAAAATTTTTTAATCGAATTTCGAGAATTCTCCGATCCTAGGCTATTTTACTCTGATTTTACTAGTTTTTCGTATCGTAGCGTCAGAGGAAAAAAAAAATGATCGGTGAAGTGGAATAATTTTTTAATCGAATTTCGAGAATCCTAGGGACTTTTTAACTTTTACTAGTTAATTAGCGTCGGAGAGAACACTATGCGATTGAATTGGTGAAATAATTTTCCAAACGATTCTCCATCGTTGTTCCGAGAATTCTTTGATCGGATTCTCCATTTCACTCGGATTTTACTAATTAATCGTGGCGTCAGAAAAAACACTATGATTGATGAAACGGAATAATTTTCCAAACGATTTCTATCCTTCGGTCCGAGAATTTCTCCCCTTGTAGTCGTTTTATCGAAATTGATTATCGATGCAGACCACTCATGTCGCCCTAAGATTTATCCCGTTTCATCCCAGATTTTCCGGTTTAATAGGACCCTCGAGGCCTCCTCCTCGTCCTCGTCGAAACGTTTTCCCATATTTTTCTTCCTCCCATCGTCGTCCACTAATTGCTCGGATAGAGATACGTTCAGACATTACTCTTGGATTCGATAATCCCAAATTTCGCGTAATCACTCGGAAGATGTACGCATGCCTTTAACTCTCCTGCGCGATTAACCCATTAACGCCATCGATCGCGTCTAAATAGATTTAGCCAATGTCTTATCAAGTTGCAGTCAACTCCGATACATCTGACGAACACGATCCTCGCCACAGATTGCTCGGATAAGAAAAAGAAGACAAGATGAAGAGAGAGAGAGAGAGAGAGAGAGAGAGAGAGAGAGAAAGAGAAAGAGCTTACCTACGAAAATCTCTGCTCCAGCAGGCGTATATGACCGGATTCATTCCGCTGTTTATCCAACCCAGCCACGTAACAGCGGCGAACACGATCTTCTCCTGCCATATGCACTGGGAGCAAAAACCCGACCAGAGGTTGACGACGAAGAAAGGGAGCCAACAGATGATGAAGACGCCCATCACGATCCCCAACGTCTTGGCCGCCTTCTTCTCCTTGGCGAACTTGGCCAGTTTTCGCGACAGGGAGAAATTGTTGCCCCTGTGCTGTTTATTGATCCTCGTGGACGGGATCCTGGTTAAACAGTTGTTGTGCTGGACGGTAGTGAGCGGCTCCTCGAGATCCTGGAGGTCCTCGGGCGTGCTCGAGGCGGTGCGGAACAGGTGTCTCGCGTCGGTGTTGGTTCCACCGCCCCGATGTATCCTCAGAGTGAGCTCCAATTCACCGGAGGCCATCAAAACTTGCTTGGTGCCCAGTTTCAGGCTCTTGGTCTGGATCACGGCCGCCCTGTATATCTTGTAGTAAGTGAACACCATTACGAACAGGGGTAAGTAGAAGCTGATGGTCGACGAGAAGATGAGATATCCGAGGTGCTCGGTGAACGGGCACTTGTCCTCGGGCACCTCCTCCGTTCGCACGGCCCTCCACCAGGCGATCGCCGGGAACGAGATGGCGCTCGAGCAGATCCACACGATCGCGATGAGTATGGCGGCCCGTTTCCTGCTCATCTTGCTCGGATAGGTGAACGGGTCGGTGATAGCCCAGTAACGATCCAGGCTGATGACGCACAGATTGAGGATCGACGCTGTGGAGAATAGGACGTCCAACGAGCGCCACACGTCGCACCAGTCGGTGGTGAACAGCCATCGGTTCTCCAACACCTCGTAAATGGCGCTGAACGGCATCACGACCAACCCGACCAGGCAATCGGCGAACGCCAACGAGGTGACGAAGTAATTGGTCGCCGTGTGGAGATACCTCTCCCTGACCACGGCGAGGATCACCAACGTGTTGCCGAACACGGTCGCCACCGAGAACAGGAACAGGAGTACGGCCAGGCCGGCCCGATCCGTGGCCAAGTTCCACAGATCCTCGTTGCTGCGGTTCTGGGGCGGGTAGCTCGCGCTGTAGAAGCTTCGGTTCAGCTGGTTCCCACCCACGTTTCCCTCTTCCTCCGAGCCGAGCAGGTAGACCGCGCTTTCGTTCATTTTCTTCGTCCCACGATCGCCACGAGCGCAGCCGAGATCTCGCCGCGCTCTTTCGGATCAGAGATGCCGCATCAGGTCGTCGACGATCCCTCGTCGACGCCGCCTTTCTTCCTCCTCATCCTTTGCCCTCTCATTTCTTCGAACCGATCCACAACTCTCCTCTTTCACTCGCGCGTATATATATATATATATGTATATCTGTTTTCAAGTTCGATCGAGTTGTCGCTCCTTGCTCGTCGAAATTTTCTCGAAATTTTCGCTCGAGAGTATCGACTAGGCTAGAGCCGTTTCGCACGATTTTCCAGGGAAATCTGAAACAGAGAAAGAGGGAGAAAGATATATTTGGTAAGATATTTTCCCGCTCTCTCTCTCTCTATATATATATATATTTCTACGATTTTGCATTTCGTAACGAGAAAATTATACATCTCCGTGTCGATAATCGTGGATTTCGTCACCGAAAGTTTCGTCGATGTGTAAACGATTTAGCAATTTTTTCGCCGGCGTGCACGTCTATATTAAGCTGGGGGGGAAAGCGTGCGATAAAGGGAGAGGCGTGTGATTTGGTGGCCAGACCGGAGGCTGAAAACAGCGGAGAGGCGAGCTTTCATCCGTGACCTGGGAGAATGTTTACCGGTACTTGATCAAAGGGGTTTCGATCGGTTCCACGATCGACCCTGGGATGGTGGCGTGCCCCTTCCCTTCCCGCCCCCGGCCAGCCTTGGATTTTGTCTCGTTCACACCCCTTCCACGTCATCGTAACCGCCAAATCCGTTGTCGTAACACGTGTCAGGGCCGATAAACCTTGCAACCTGCCGCCGCGTATCGAACCGAACCGGCCCAAACCCGCTCGTTTACGTTGAAAACAAACCGCCCTCCTTTATTCTTGACTTTCAACGTTGGCCCGGCCAGAGTGACGCTCCGTCGAATTGGCCGCCTCCAATCTTTCGCACCCTTCCATTTCCACCGTATATCCGAGAACAAGAAGTGCGGAGGAAGTTTGGGAGCTCGCGAATTTAACCGAAAACGGACCTCCCTCTCTCTCTCTCTCTCTCTCCAATATTGGCGAATATTGATTTTCGGTCGTAGAAAATAATTTGTGGAAATTCAGAAATATATTTACACACACATATATATATAATACAAAATTAAAGGGAATATAAGTAAACTTGGGAACACAGTTGGATAATTCTAAAATAATTCGGATGGGAAAGAATTGGGTAGATTCGAAGAGTGTAGAGGATTATTTCGGCTTTAATCAAAGATAAATTAAGCGCGCAACATTGATTGGAACGTACACGCGAAAAGAAAAGAGAAGGATATATAATTTATCCTCCACGCGAGCGCGTGATCCGCGTCGAATGCGTTAAGGGATGTATTTTTAATCCGATCTCTCTCTCTCTCTCTCTCTGCTTTCTCACGATCCACTCGATATTTCGTTTAAGGGTAAATTCGTGGCAATTCGGCCATAGACGTTATAGACGTGGCTAATTTCGAACACGAAGATTTGTTGGATCCAATTTGGACTCGGGATTGGTACACGCAAGCTTACGATCATTTCTGACGTGTGTATGCACCGAGAGTAGGTCTACTTGGAGGGCACTTACCGAAAGTTTGCCCACCATTGGTGCTCTACGAAATTACGGTATTAAATCGACCGAATGCGTGCTTGAATAGATGCCTACCGGCACGCTGCGTTGCACGAATCGATCAGATCTGCAGACCAGGATTACCATTCCTGTCTGTTTCCACTTCTGTTCCCATTTAACTCCTCGTCAGCCGTTCTCGATAATCAGCGCGCTGCGCAACTGTACCTGATATAAAAGTACCGTGTGTTCCTTTCTTCTCTTTCTCTCTCTTTATATCTCTCGTTCCGAATTTTTTCGAGAAGGACATCCAACACAATTTCGAACAATCGTCCGCTCAAAACTCGAAACCGAATCGATGTTTCTCTGATTCAATTTGGATCGAAAAACACGCGAAAAAAATTTGGATTTTTCGAGCGAATTCAGAAAAAAGTAGAAAGGAGGACGACTCGACCCTCCCCCTCGCCATTCCAAGCAAACCCGGGAAGAATTTAAATCCGACGAGTAAGTACGCGTCGCGTCGCGAAATTCCGATCGTAGCCGACTAATTAAATAACCGGATCAGAATGCCGAGAGAAATTTTGCTCGCCGTTCCGTGAAGTAATCTTTCCACGATGCAACGATCGCGAAACATCTCTCGCGAAAACGCGCATACCCTTCACCCACCACCATCGCCTTTCAAATAGTTCAACTTTCCTCGTAGCGTTGTCTGATAGACAGGTTTCTCTTCGTAAGTTGAGACGAAACGGTATACTAGGAATCCTAGTGTAGTGTCTCGTCGCGATTCTACACTCTGAGAGCACCGATCGAGGGTGTCGAGATGGAATATTTCGAGGATACGACAGTGCAGGCTTGCTCGAGCGCCAGAGATGTTCCATTAGGCGGGACACGCGTAGAGCGTAAGGTGCATGGGCCAAGACGATAAGATCGTGGCAACCGCGCTTGTCTCCCCGTCGAACGTGGGAATGCGCGTTAGCTGTTGAACCGATTTCGATTCGTCGTTGTCGAGTCGATCTCCACGAATCTTTTGCTGATATTTTTTTTTTCTTGAATATTATTACATCATTCGTAGAGGACGAGGAAAATAGAATAAATATATATATATATATTTGAGTGAATATTTTTCGTTCTTTTGCACATCCATTGAGATATCGATGATTTTTGGCAATCATCTCGAAAGCTATGAATTATTAATAATTTGGTGAATTACGAAATGAAAGTGGCGATAATCAGTTTTGGAATTCTAACGTTCGACGAACGAGATCGAATCGACGTGAGGAAAAGAAAGGGAGGGAGGGGGAGGAGATAAGAGGATCTGGATAGATAGGTGTTTTGACTGGGACAAATTAGAGGGCGTTATCTTCTCGGAACGTTTCATTTTCTTTCGATTCGAGATGGAGAAAACTTTTCACGTGGAACAATGGCAATTTGTCAAGGAGAAGTTTCACGGATGAAGTTACGATATTTATTCGTATTGTAGGATCGTAGCTCCAAAAAGAAATTTTCCGCAAGCGCAACGAAGCGCTTTGGAAGGGAATTGGATCTGCAAGAAAGAAAAAAATAAATAAAATAGTTTGCCACTAGATCAGCTTTTATTATATTTAACGGGGAGGAGGCGACGAAAATTTATATTCTCTTATAAAAATATAGAGACTCTGTCCGAGCTTTGGCCACAATTAAATAAACAATTCAAGAAATATATTTATATTTCTTACCCCTCTGGATCTTCGATTCGATTCTTGGCAAATGCAACTCGTTCTCGAACGGTTAACCTTTTTCTACTTTCTAGTATTTTGAGATCATACAGGATCGATAATGTATAATACATGCGCTTACCGTATGAATCTTTAAAGGCGGAGAGGGATCGAGAATCGGGGAATTTGAGGAAATTCCCGTGTTTCGACGTGACATCGTGAATCCTCGCGGGGATCCCGCGAGACGAGACGAGTTCGAGCTCGAGCTCGAGCGAATAAATAGTATAACGAAATAAATATATATATATATATATATATTTATAGACACGAGCTTTTACCGCCTTTATAGATTTAAACGATCGATCATTCTTGCATTCTGGAAGGTAAAAGATAAATTTTCGTCGCCTCCTCTCCGTTAAATATAATAAAAGCTGATCGTGGCAAACTTGGAAAGAATTTTATTTTATTTATTTATTTTTTTCTTTCTTTCTTCCAGATCCGTTCCAATTCCCTCGCTTTCCCAGAGCGAAACGAACAATCGCGAGAAAAGAAAGTAACGAACGGGGTTGGCGCAAGGGCAAACAGCCAGGCCGGTAACTTTCCATTCTGGTTGCATTAGCGCTCGTTAATCGAGATCTCGTTGCTCGATTTCGCAGTTCCATTTACGACAGGTATACCCCTTTTTCAACCCTTTACGCTCCACGAGTTCCTTCGCTCGGGCGAAGTAACGACTCGAGATGAGATTATGCGACGAGCGTCTTACGTAAAATCGTTAAATTTCTTCACGAGTCAATTCTGAATCAATCTAGAATATCGCTATTCTCTTTTGGATTCATTTTTGTCTGTCGTTCTTCGATTTCTTCGATACTTAATGCTACGTCTCACTGATTCCTTAATGGAGACAATAATCAATCTCGTTTCTCAACTTTTCTCAATTAACTTGTTAATCGACTTGTTTCTCAATTCGATCTCATCCTCGCTCGAGCTAATTTTATTTTCGAATCGAATTTTTTTTTCTAGGGCTTCTAAACTTTTGCCACGATTTTCGAAATTAACATTGCCGAGAGAAATTTAACATCAAATATCTTATCTCCATTTTAAAGTTTCCTATTATTCCCCAATAAAGAGATAAAGAGGGAATCGAGTCAATATTCGCGGTCTTATTAATCGGAGATAAGGAAATCTAGCGTGAACAAAGAGTCGAAACGTCGCGGCGACCGAGAGTCGCCTCTCGAGCGCAAAGGGTTGAATCTTTCCACCGATAAATCACGATAGAACACGAGTGACAAGGATGATGCATCGTCACTCGTTTATTTCCTTGACCGGATGTTTTTCGGGAAACGCTAATGACTTCTCCTTCTTTTTTTTCTTTTCGTCCAGTGACGAATGTAAACATTTTCTCGAGCGCAAATAGAGCACTCGTGTTTCGCGAGAAATTCGGCAACTGGAGCTTGCTCGCGTCGAACTATCCGGACCAATTCGTTGATTTTTATCTTTCAATATGCGATATAGGAAGATATTCTCTCGAGGAAGAAGGCAAGCGGATCAACGAGGTTAAAACGCGATCGAATTCCGTTCGTCGATCGAGTTTAACGAGTCGATTTCACGATTCTCCATGGCCAAACACGTGGAAAATGAAGTTTGGAAGTTGAAGTTGGCGACAAGCTTGGGGAGATAAAACGTCGGGAACGGGGGAATTTGATTTTGGAACGGGGGAGTGGCAGCAGGGATCCCTCCTTTTCTCGATTATCCCAGAGATCGAAGGTGAGATCCGATCTCGATCTCCTGGATACGAGATCGACTGCTGTTCGGCAAGCGTGAAATCGGGTGGAAATCAGCGACACTCTGATTCCTCCATCTTTTGCGTACGTCTGTCGCAATCCGGGATCGAGCGAAATAAAGGTTTGAAATTCGAGCCAACGTTGGAAATTCAATTAAAACGCGCACGCGTTCTCGATCTCGTATCTCGACTTCTCTCCATTCGGGATCTCGTTAGATTGTAGCCGATCTCACTCGAGGAATAAATCGATC